AATAAGATAATCGCACGCTAGTTTACTTGTGTAAAGAAACAGTTGCCGCCAAATCCAATTTTGGTTCTTGAAGTAACTTCGCTCGTCTGCAAGCATGCTGAGTACATTTAAGACGGCCAGGCAGATCATGAGATTGTAAATTGAGATCGCAAAGTAAGGTCTATAAAGGAAGAGACTAAGGTTGCAGACGGCAATCTTTTCCTATGGTTTAGAATATTTTTGCTCTATTTCGTAAAGTACGAAATACAGTACAGATGAAAGCTTAGCACAGGTTCATCGGGGTCGCAGAATGGTGAGCCGATGACTTCTTCGCACAATACAACAGTCTTCCCTACGCAACAATCCTTCTTCGGGTTCCGGTCACTTCACGAATTCCTTCCAACGAATTTTTCCATGTTGAAACTCATAACAGTCATATCACTAAAGAATTTTCCAAATCCCAGTTTTTCCTCATATCTTCAGAATATTTTTGTTGCATTGCTTTAAAAAGTACTATACTTTTAAAAAATATATACGATAAGTGAAGGGGCCTCACCAACTTCACAGAATCGAGATCCAAACTGACGCCGTAGAAGCGAACAATATCCGGGTGCAAAAGTGACTGGCTAATGGAAATCTCTTTAAGAAACCGACCAAGGGGTGTTGATACAGAGTGAGACTTTGTAGAAACACTGGTGACATGATTTCGATGAAAACCATCTAGGCTATGTGATGAGGTCGAGTTGAGGCTGAGTTGATCCGAGTTAGTGTCGGAGAAATTTAGGCTGGAGCGATGTATCACTTTAACGGCCACCTGGACAGCAGATCCCGATGATGGGTGCCAGACTCCCTGAACGACGCAAATTAAGCAATAAAAGAGTAAACATTATATTTATATATATATGTCTATGATGCATATAATTACCAAAATTAATAAATGATCAAAAAAGGAAAAAATTGGGAGAAAAGATCGAGGAAATATAATCAAATTTCGCAGTTGGAAAGAAAGCCAGGACGCTGACATATGCTACACACGTCTTTTTATGTAGAACATATTAGATACTTCCATATTAATAAGTGGTGACAAGCGAGTTTA